GGGCTTGTGTGTTTGGGAGACAGAGAGTCAGTATTTAATCAGATTCTTAGAAGTCTTTGTCCTTGTCACAAATGTTAAGAGCCAGTGTTCTGAATGATACTTTTTTTTTTTTACACCATTTAAAATTTTAGAACCTGTAAAAGAATGCTATACAAAAGCTCAGTGACTTCCCATTGCCTTGGGACAGTCTTTGACATAATGTTCAAAGCTCTCAAAAAGATACACCCCTGATAAACCTTTCTAGCCACATCTGCTAATCCCTTATGTGTACCCTGTTGTGTCTCTGGTATACCAAACTACAAGCAAGTTTTTTACAACCTGTTTTCTTTTCACACCCCTGGTTTTGAATTAGTTTTTCTACCTAGAATGCCTATCCCTCTGTCAAGATCCAGCTTGAATGTCACCAGGTGCAAGGTTAGCCATAACCTTTTCAGGGTTCACGAAACATTTGAATGCCTTTATTTTAAGCACATAGATTGTTGAAACACAATTTCTTTTTGTATTGTGTGTGCTTTCTATTAGCTCAGTATATTGGGGGAAACATTCATGTTCTATCGTGGTATTTTCAGACCTGGCATACTTGACACCAAAAAAGGCAGTGTTCATGTAAATGAATAAATGTTTTGGTGGTGAAACGAGCTAATATTACACTTTTTATTTTAGAAATGAATTTAAATTCATCTCTTCTGTGATTGAAAGTTTAACTCTTTACTAGGTAGGACCCATGAGTTCTCCCTGCTTCCTCTAGTTTGATTTTGAGGCTTTGCTTCATTTATATTTTTCACATATTTTCAGCAAGACTGAAGCAGTACATTGTGTTTTCATGGAATAAAATGTGTATAATTGGTAATGGGGCCCAGGTAGCACTCCACCTAGAGTGAATCTCTCCTCACTTAGTTTTTGCAGCCCCCCCCCCAGATTAGAAGAAGACTGGAGTAGTTAATAATCAAAGCAATAACTGTTGGAATTAGAGCAAGCTAAAACCGTGGTAACAGAAATTGCATGTCTGTATGCCAAGTCAATTCTTTATGTCTGCTGCCCAGTGTGGCCTCTTTTTCTTTGGATTCACAAGTAACTTTAGGGCATATGCCTGCCAGCAGCTCTGGGTCACATCCTTATAGCTCCTAATGAGAAAAGGAAGAAGTGTCCCTTCCAGCTTCAATTTGAAAAATCCTAGGTAGGGATGGATGGACAAACTGATAAGGTCAGGTTCCAGCTTAGGTTACTCTTTGAACTCACTGAAGCTGAAGGAACAAAATTCTGTGATTAGCACTATCTGAGTAACTGTTTAATGGTGGCTGACAGTCACCCAACGCTACAGTCGTACCTTTGGAGTAAGAGAAAAGCATTTCCAAGAAAGAAGAGGGTTTGAGTAGACAAACTGCTGCATTAGGATAGCATCTGAGATGACTTAACGCTTTTTCTCATATTTTTTTTTCCCTGCTGAGATGTTTTTATATCTAATTTGCTATGGGCATAATGTGAGAATTATTTGGCATCTTAGAGATAAGTGCTGTATGATTTAAAAGGTCTGTTTTGATCCTTAAAAGTACTTGTAGGTCACTTTTTGATGTTGATTTTAAAGTAGATTTGGGTACCTAAGTTAATTGCCCAAATATTAGATCTTTGAGTATTACTTCAGAGGTGTCTTAGTCATGGAGAACTTGGAAACTAAGGCGTTTAGAAATTATCTGAGTGGAATAAGAGCTTGAAATTACAGGAGTAAAGAGCTGAAATTCAGTGCTAACTAGCTGAAATTATACATTCACTCTAAAGGAGTGAAAATGTCATAGTTACCAGTGCAGGAAAACTGATTAAAATACTTAGGTTTTTCATAAAATGTGCAACTTTGAAGTAGAATGTTGATATATTCTACGTCAACTTTATAGATCACTAAACTTATTATTTATTATGAAGTTGTTTTAACATCACTATTGAGTATTTTGTTAGACTAACCATCATTAATTTTTAATTTTTTATTTAAAAGTAACTGCTAGATATTTTTCTGCAGGCATTTTTACCAGTTAACATACTTAAAACATTAAGTACATCATTTGGGGTAGATTGGTGTAAGAAGTTCATTTTAGTAATAGTTGAATTCACACGCTTACCAGACATTTTTAGGTAGAATCCCATGAAATTGCAGTTTCTATAGGCCAAAAATGGTCAAGTATTAGTAATTTCATACAGCTCAACCTAATAACATGATTTTTTTAAAATGACATCCACAAATATTCCTTGAACTGCTGACCTTGTACCATTTAATGTATAACATACCATGACCATGTAATTGCTAGAAGAGTATGTTATAGACAGCTAAGTATAAAAATTCATCTCATAAGCAAAAGATTTAAGTGAGTTATGGCTATAGTATGGAACCTGTTTATAAAGTGGTTTTGCATTTGTTTAATAAACAAATATGCAAATAGTGCCTATCCATGAAATCTTCCCTTCAAGATGTGTTGTCTGCTTGCTGAGTACGTAATAACATTATATGCCAGTTAGAGTGCTAGGGTACTTTATCTCATTCATTCTCTCAAAACTTCTGTAAAAATAGGCATTCCTGTTTTAGAGATGAGGAAACACGCCAGTGAAATTGTGGGTCTAAATTGGATTAAAAATGAGACTCCAAACTAACGATCATATTGAGGGATGTGCATGTTCAAAATCCTTATTTCATGATGCTATATTTGAGCTGCATGTGTAATTTTGTGTTTGGGTTCTTAATAGCATTTTTGAAAATTCAGATCTTTATTGTTCTATGGGAAAGGGGGGAGGGTGGTTTGGAACAGGCTAAGTTTTACCTTAAAATAGATTTTTGTGAACCCATATGTTCCTTAGGAGGAATTAGGCTGCATAAGTTAACTTCCGGTTTATCTTTTTTTGGTGGGCGAGTTAAGCAACAGAACTTATGTTTTGGAACATGGAAAAATTCTCTTCATATCAGTTAGGCTGTATTTGATTCTTACCAATAATAAAGTATATACCTTGATGGTGTTAAAGTAGCTTGCCATTGTAATAAAGTGGCTGATCAAGGAATGCAAATAAATGCTTTATGAGAGTTGATCTAGCCTATGAAAAAGTCATTTGGATAGTCGATTAGGTCAGGTTGCCAGTATAATTTCTCTTTTTTATGAAAAACCTACGATTCAGTTCTGATATATTTGGTATTTTGGAAGGTTTTTTTGGGTTGTTTTTTGTTTTTTGTTTTTTTTTTTTTAAAGCTGTGCATAGTTTCTTTTAACTAGTTGCTTGACTCAAGAATAAGAGCTTCTGTAATTGCTACTGATCAGAATCTCAAAGTGTTTGGAATGAATTTTCTCCCATTCGTAATTGTTGTACATATGAGGGTGTATTTGCATAGGCAAGCATAAAGATCTGATCTGATCTTCCATCATTCTTAAGATTGTGAATCCTGGGGTCTCTGGCTGCCTTGATAATCTTATAAGCAGTTGTAGTTTCAGTTTCAGAAGCAAATTGACAAAGTGTATATTAAAGCAGTTCTTTTTTCCTGTTTTATTTTTGAAATATAATTGGTGTATAATGTAATAAATGTACAACATAATAATTTGTATAGTTTAAAATGTTTACCCCAAGGACTTCTGCATTGATTTTCTTCTTTAATGGCGTGAATTTAGACTGAACAGTTGGCTGTTCTCTGAAGTGCATTATTTAAAGTGAATATTTGCTCTAGTTGTCTTTCTGCAATGTTATGTAATCCCTGCCTTTTTCTTAGAAAACCATTATTATCTCAAGTGTCTATAAACCTCTATACTATAGGTATTTATATATAGGTATATATAAATAAAGCTGTATCATTTTAAATTTTTAAAAAACTTGCAAAGAAGGAGGGTTATTTTCTAACTAGATTATCCATACGGGTTTTGCACAAGTTGTGGAAGGACTAAAATACTTGTTGGAAATACAAGGTCAGATGGAATTGTAGAAACTGCATGTTTTGCTAAGAGCAAACTTCTTTTCTACCTAAAGAGGTATGTTTTTCTAGAATTTTACTCAATGTTGAGTAAAAGACAAGTCTGAGTTGAGGGGATAAAGAGAACAAACCAAAATGGGTACTCAGCCTCAAGATAGATTTTTTTAAGTGGAAAATGAGGTTAGTGGGTGGCAGTGTGGTTAGAAAGAACAGAGTATTTAAGATGGTAGAAGCAAGGGCTTGTGAGGTGGTCTGAAAGTTCAGCAAATAACATGAATGTTAAGGACTGCCCTAAGTTCTTATGGTAGGAAAATACTTGATTGTAACTTTTTCACTTTTTAAGAGGACAGTTTTTGTCTTTATTTTGAGGTGGACAGGTGCACTTTGAAGATAGATGTTGAGGGCTTGGTTCCAGACCACCACCATAAAGCGAATATCACAATAAACCAAGTCACTTTTTTCAGGGGAGGAGGGGTATTCCCAGTGCCTATAAAAGTTATGTTTACTGTAGTCTAAAAGTACATACCTTAATTTAAAAATACTTGTTTAAAAAAAAACACGAATCATCTGAACCTTCAGCAGGTTGTAACCTTTTTGCTGGTGGAGGGTTTGAAGTATTGTAAGAATAAACAAAATAAGATTAAAAGGCACAAAGTGAACAAATGCTGTTAGAAAAACAGTGCCTATAGACCTGCTGGATACAGGGTTGCCACAAACCTTCAATTTGTTTGGGGGGGGGGACCTTCCCTTCCACCCAAACACAGTAGCCATGAAGCACAATAAAACAAGATATGCTTATAATAAAAATTCCTATCAGTGTGTCTTTTAGGAACCCCTAGCCAAGGTTATTGTCTTGATATGTGTCCATAAAATAAGTATCCCTAGTATCTCCTGAGAACTGGACTAGGATGACTTAAGTTTTCTTTCCTTATAGAAGGTATTGTTAATGTGAACTGTGATGATATGTTCCTTAAAGAATGGTGTAAAAATAACTGGAAGCAGATGACTCTCCTGCTTGTGTTTTCTATTATGTTTACATGACCCAGCATTTTCTATCTTGGTATAGGAACTTAGTGATTTGGCCCGTGACCCTCCAGCACAATGTTCTGCAGGTCCAGTTGGGGATGATAGTAAGTAATTTTCGAGTTGATTTTTATGGCTAGTTTCAAAAAAGCTTGTGCATTTTTAGATAACAAGAGTGTTTTCTTTTTCTAGTGTTTCATTGGCAAGCCACAATTATGGGACCTGTAAGTACTGAAAATTAAGTTTTTGCTTTTAATTAAAAGTGTAACATTGATCTAGTTAGTAATTTTCAAGTCTTTAGCTTTATTTTATTGCATTGTAATTCTGTTTTGGATATGCCATAGTTGTACTGCTTTTGAAAGAAACAACTAGTCATTTGTTCAATATAAGTGTCTGTCCCTGTGTCCAGGTTCTAGTGTATAGCATTTCTATGACCTATCAAATATCCCTTGTAATCTGATTTTCATTCATAGCAGTGTAAAGCATGTCACAGAGCTTCCTAATTTATAGAGCCCATTAATTTTCTGGCTGTACCATGGTGTTAAACGAATAGAGTAAGATCTTTGAGTAACTGCCAAAAAATCTAGCTTAATTGTATTATTTTGATGTTTGATTTGTTTTTAAAAGACCTTTAGTTTCATACAAAATGTGAATATTTTTAGGTAGAAAGTGATATTTTGAATACAGCAAAATTCCTTTTTATCCTGGGTAGATAAGAAACTGTATATGCTGGATAATTGAATAATCAGAATTATGGATACCATCTAAGAATTTCACAGAATTAGATCGCAGTAAAACATCCTGGGGTAAGACTATATCTTGCACAATACTTCTTTTGACTTGGAAGGCAGTTAAGGGTTTCTGTTTCAAATTGTGTGTGTGTGTATTACTGAATATTCTGCCCCCCCTCCCCCCCATATTTTAATCTCAACATAAATGGCAGTAATATATTAGGTGAGATAATGGTCACCAAGTAACTATTTATAATTCTAAAAGAAGAAATGCCCTTGGAAAAAAAAGCCAGTGGATGGGCTGAATCAGCAAGTGGTTTATTCAGGAGTTCTTATGGTAAATCTGATGAGATTTGAGATGTGTCTGGAATTAGCCCAATAAAAACTATAGAGTCAGAATTGTTCTCCCATTATCTCAAGGTCTGTTTTTGCTGTTTTAAGTGCTTCCTTTTCTCTAATTTGTTGACAAAAAAGTGATTTTTTTCCTTTAAATACACATAATTAAGTAACTGTTGGCTTACTCAGTTTGGCCCACCAATGTTTTAAAAGTTGACAGTCTGCCTAAAAACCCTCTGACTAGGCCCTCATTCCACAATTGGCTTCGGATGGAGTAGCAGCTACCTCCCTTATTCAGATGAGGTGTGTGTCTGCTACAGTTGCTGCCAGGTCCACTTAGGCACTTGAATTTCCAGCTTCTAGAATTTTCCCATTACAGATCACCAATTTTCAGAGCAAATAGTTCAGTAAACTGCCTTATATCTGTACCAAATAAAGTTCATCTTTGATTCAAAGAGTGCTTTAAGGTAGTCTCATAAAAATTAGTTGTCAGTACTAATAAAGCACAAATGAGTTGGTAATCACAACTTCTAATTGGATGGTGTACATAGTAAAACCAACTCTTAAACCAGTGTGGTGTTTCTCTGCTTGACTTTTGAGACTTTACTTACTTAATTCCTTTCCAAAAGGTAAGGAATACACCTGTAGTAAATTAAAGTGAAGTATAAAAGAAGAATTTATAGTAGTAATTTTCCAGAGAATAGAAGATAGATTGCTTATCCTGACAAATGTTTTAGCTGTTTACTTGATTTGCTTTTATTTTCAGGAAACATTTTTCATTAATTTTATATATATTTTATATTATGGCTCCTCTTTGCTAAACTTTTTTCAGCGCCCTTTCGAATATAAAGGAATAGTAGCTGTCTGCTTTAAACAAATAACTTGATTTTCAGAACAACAAAAGCAAAAAATATATTTATGCCATAACTGTATAGTTTTTCCTTAGTAACATTATTCTCTGAAATGTACTTGTTTTCTAAGGAAGTTGATTCTCACTGTTAGGTAACTTCAGGAATGAGTCAAAAATTATAAAAACTCCCCCAAAATGCATATTTTATTTGTGTTCTTCATAAATAATCACCTAAATTTAGATGCCAGCCTGTAAACAGTTATTTTTACTATAAGGTGTATCAGTGAAACAGTGTTGTTTTGATTTTTGACTGCATCTTTGTGACAAAACATTACAGTTTGATTAGATAATATTTTGTTGGTATCCCTACCCTAAGTGGCATGCAGATGTGACCCAAAACAGTAGGGCTGGTGGCAGCATAACATTCCATAAATTGTAGATTTGCTGGAAGAACAGATGTTAACAAAATGACTTTGGCTTTGGAGTACTTCTTAGGTCAGAGTGATGGCAGTGTCACAGAACTAAAGATTTCTGTTCAAGGAGTGGAGCATCATCTAATTTAGGTTTCAGGAGAGAGTTACTATTGGAATTTGGTGGATTATAGTCAGGAAATGCTCTTGCTCATTGAACAAAAACGTTTGGTTCCTAAAACCTGTGTGCTGGCGTATTGTCTCTGAAGGTAAGATACTTTGGAAGCACAAATACTGATAAAAAACAATCTTTGAAAGAATTGACGGAGCATTGTGCTAGTTATGTGGTTTTTTAACTTTGGCTGGTTTATTTGTACTATGTTAGGGAAATTTCCACAGAGAATTGATGCAGTGAGGAGAAACTTAACTTCCTTATCTGTTGTTTCTGATATTCATGTGCTTCTTTAATTGGAAATAGAGCTGGCAGAGAACTGTTGAAATTATTTTGAGAACGACACTAACTTCTGCCTAGACTGTGATAGATCTGTAGAGAAAGTCCTGTATCTGTGAATAATGTAACCTTTGGCAGCCTGAGCAGAATCAGCTACAAAAACCATCTGGATTAAAATAATTGGTCCATGAGAATTGTTTTATTGGTCCATAAGGGTTAACTTTTTCAATTTATGTTAAGTGTATTATTTTCCTCCTGCTAAGGCTAATGATACGTGAAAACTCCTCCTTAACACCTTATTCTTTAAGGAGCTTGATAATGTAGTGTAAGAGGGAAATTAAGTGAATGAGTTAAAATTATGTTGGATAATAGTAACTACAGAACGAGGTATATAAAGAGGGGGAGGGTGCAGCCAGCATTTTGGACTAAAGAGAAGGCTGTTACTTATTTTTTTTTAAAGACACTTAAGCTTAAGGTGGACCTAACTAGGGTCCTGCAGATAAGGAAGAATATTCCAGGTAAGGGAAAGTAATAGTAGTAGAAAAGGGAGATGTGAAATATACTTATTTTATATTCAGTAAAGGGTATTTCTGGAGAAGAGGTGAAAAATGAGACTAACTCAGTTGGTGGGAACCAGATCATAAAGCACAGGAGTTTGAACTTTTATCTTGAAAGCTGTGCTAGATTTCAAGATGGAGAGTAACTTGTATCTTGAAAAGACCACTTTAGCATTATGGTGAGACATAAATTGGAGGGAAAAGCCCAAGAAGGCAAGAATACCAATAGTAAGCCATTGCCATGAAATAGACTAAAGATAGTAAGATCTTGAACCAATAAGGCAGTGGACATGAAGGAGAGGAATCTGCTTCAGGAGACCTGAAGGATCCTTGAGATTTGATAACTACTTGTGAGGAGATGAAAATCAGTGATAAATCCTGATTTGTGGCTTTACTATTTACTATTTAGACACATGAGACATCCAAGTAGAAATATTCAATAGCTATTTGAATATAAGTCCTGGAGTAAATAACTGCACTAGAGATAGATTCCTAAATTACCAAAATAAGTGTGAGACAGGAGATAGAAGCAAAAGATGGATCTGTAGGAATACCAATATATTATGGTTGCTTTAGGGGAAGAGTACAGACACTAGAGAGGAGCAGTACAGACACCCTGACTGGAGCAAAACCAGGGTAGGTTTCTAAAGAAGAGATTCAGTATGTACTCCAGATTTCTAAGATTGAGTCAATTCGCTGATCAGAGTATTCATTTTTGTTTTCCTTGGTGTATTTGCTGTCAATTTATGGTAAGTTCAACATAGAACCTTAGTTTTTCAGATGGCACAGTTTGGTTACCTCCAGATAGTGTATGGTTTTTACCAGTTTGTCCTCTTTGATTTTAATGTTTATTTGTAACACTGAAATATTTTTATTCTGTAAGGTTTTATGAACAAATGAAATTTGCCTTTGCCTAAATCTTATTAGACTGCCTTTGAGTAGCAGTCAAATAAAGTGCTTCAGTGCTTGATGGTATGAAACTTATGAAAGCTTAAACAACTTTTGAAATTGGGTTTAATTAAAACTTTTAATGTTTAGCATCACCCTTAAATTGTTAACTGTACTGAGTACAAACATGTGGCTTCAGTATTAGCCTGTTTTATAAAAGAGTGCTGTTCGAAGCATCTATTTACAGTTAATGTAGCTGTATTATTTAACAAAGATATGTTAATCAAATAAATTTAGATCCAGTTCTGGTGCCTTGCTTTGATTTGTTTTTCTATACTTCTCAGATGCTCTTCTGTAGACAAAGTTTTTTAAATTAAAAATTTGTAGACAGCGAAAAGGAGGGGCTTGGGAGTAGGAACGACTTACTTAATAGTAGCTTTTTAATTTAATTGTTGCATGTTTCTTTGAATTTGGTTATCAGTAAATTGTCCTTTCTCCTTTAAACCCCAGGTATAATACATTGTTTTCTTATCTATAACATTTCATTGTGTGTCTCTTTACGAGACTGTAAGCTCATCGACAAAAGAAATTGTTCTGTGTCCCTTGTACATACTTAAGAAATAGAATGAAGTTAGATTAATTCAACTAATGTTTAGTATTTGAGAGGGCTGGGGATTAAATGAGCTGTATTAAAGTGCCAAACCTGTAAAGATTATTTTTCTGACATCCAGAGTGGTCATAGTAAAAAGCCCATATTAGCGCTGTATACATGCTTACTCTAATGAAGAAAAATGGGTGTTGGTAATAACTCAGTTAATGCAAATTTTCAAACACATCTTCAGGTTGATTCTTGCATATCTGGAGGCAGTTAGTCAATTCCATATAATTTTCTAAACTTTTACCTTGAAATCCTTAGCTAGGTCACCATCTTCTTTCATTATTTAATGGTGTTGATAAGGCCTGGGTTTGAATCTTGGTTCTATCTTATACAATTGTATATTTGACTAAATTACTTTAAGTCCCATTTTACTCACTTGGAAAATTAGAACAATGATATCTTTTTCCTAGTATTGGTTAAATTAAATGTGAAGTCCTGGCAAGTTTCTCCCAAATGTTACTTCATACTAACATTGTATAATACTCATTTACTAAGGAGTTCTTCATACCCATAATGAGCAAAATGGCTAAAGAGAAAAAGTACTGCTGTAACTTGAACTTTTATATTTTCTGTTGAAATGGACAAAACAAACATTCCAGTTTTCCAAATCTGGTAATCCTATGTATTGATTTGCTGTGGAGAATTCAGTAGTATGCTTTTGAAGAAAAAACTTGTCATGGTTTTAAATGAGAACTTTGAGGAGCCAAAATTGGAACTACATTTTCTTTTAAAACCTGTTTTGTTTCTGTTCTATTTCTATTGAAGGGAGTTGTATTACCTATAATAGCTAACTTTTTGATTTGTCAGTGACCAGAATAGCCTGTTGTACAAAACCATTGTGTGTGTGTGTGTGTCTATCATTAGAAGAAATACTATTTAAATGTAAAGATTTTGTTTTCAAATTATAGTTTAATACATAATACTGTACGTAGACTTTATTGCTAAGTATACTTAGAATCGGGATCCTAGAACCTTGTGTTCTAGATTTTTTTTTTCCTAAAATTCTTTGGTGACTTATGTAAAATAGGATCTAAGTAAATTAGAGTTCATTCTATGGTAAATACTGTGTTTTTTTCAGTAATATGAACTTTACTGTGGAATAGTTTAGACTCTTCCATGTAAATAGGTAATTTTGTCTTGTATTAAATACAGAGAAATGCTTAGAAAATAGAAATGAATCACTTAGCAATAATATTTTAAATAGCAAAGTTAAGCATATTTTTCTTTTTCACAGAATGACAGCCCATATCAAGGCGGTGTATTCTTTTTGACAATTCATTTTCCTACAGACTACCCCTTCAAACCACCTAAGGCAAGTATTTTCCCCCAAATCTGTTAATTTAGATTTGTTTTATTTCAGAGGGATAGAACATTCTTAGAAATTAGGATTCTGCGTAAGTTAAGGCTAAATTGGCATGAATGTATAGTGATAAGAATAAGTGAGGCTAAATAACAAAATACATATATTGAATTGAGTCACTGATATTGAATGCTGACTCTTAACCTTTAAAAAGAGCAGCTAAACCTAGATTTGAACTTCATAAATGGAGATAAGAAGTGCTTTATCCTTAGTATTGCAAGTTTCAAATATACCATGTGGAAGCTTTTTTTTCCTTTATTGGGCTTATACAGATTTGGATTATTAACCCTAGTGTCTTAGTAGGCTTCCAAATATTCAACTTCAGTATGCATTTTCACATGTTATTGCAAATTATACCATATTTGTGTTGCGTTTAGACAGACTGTAATATATTTTGGGCTTTGAGTTTGCACACAGTAAATTTATCAAAA